TGCAGCAGGGACCCCACCACTCCAGGGAGCCCAGAGACAGTCAAACGGCCCCACAGGGATAAAAATCAACTGTTTATTTGTAATTATTAACAAATAAAAACATTTAAAAACACCCCAATAGTTAATTTAATATCGAGGGATTTTTTTTAATTTGTGTCAAATCGTTTTCTTTCCAAGACTCGCGACTTTGCCTCCCAACTCGTCCAATCAGGGTAACACCCAGGCAGGCACATGGTCTTTAAAGCGTTGGCAGCCAATCAAGCCACGTAGGCAGAAAGCGGCGGCTGGCACCGGAGTTGGCGGAAGGGCTAATCCAGCTTTCTGCAGCGGGAAATGTTTCTCGAGCGGCAGTTGGATTCAGACACTCGAAGCAAAGCTAGGAAAGCGAGTCGGCACTGAGCAAGCGGGAGAGCTGGTTCTCCTCTTCCATTGTATGAAGAGTAAACTACGCACACAATCTACTACTTGAACCTCTCTAGTCCGGCAACATCCACAGCCCGGCCTGATTTCAGTGAGCTGGATGTCCACTTACCACGGATGTGGCCATGTTTCCCGTGGTCCCATAAAGTTTGTTTATAGCCACCAGTCCTGGCTCAGCGTTCTGAGCTGTGATTTAGCTCTAATTTACCCCGAAATGTCTTCCAAGAGCCCAGCAAGCAATGGAAGTGCTGGTAATGCCGCTAAACATTCACCTCCTGTCGTCTGGAAAATTCTCTGGTTTGGCACCGGTTAGGTCCTGAGGGTGCCAGATTAGAGAGGTTCAATCTACAGTGCTAACATTTTGAAGGATTTGGTCGCCATCACTTCAACCTGTGAACTGCAACTACCATTTCCTTTGTCTGATCAATTCATATTAAATGCAAATGGACTTGTACTTCTGCATTCGGCATGTTTACGGACGTTTTATTTAACTAATACAATTTTTTTAAATGCTGGTTTTGTGCCGTTGCAAACGAATCCCCCGTTTTAAACACAAACCCTAGTTTGATAAACTTACTTCTTCTGCACAAAACCACGGTTTGCAATTAAAAGGGGGAAGACGTTTCAAAAGGCACAAAACCAACTTTTAAAAATTGCTTTTATTCGTTAACACAAAAAGACCTTAAACGTGCCGGTGACATCAGACGACAAAGGCAGTTCACAGCGGTGGCACATTTAAGGTTGTTTTGTTTAACTAATAAAAGCAATTTTAAAAGGCTGGTTTTGTTGCATTTTAATTGGGTTCCAGTTTCCAATCCACGGCAGCTTGACACACAAGTAGAAAACATTATCATGCAAAGGAGAGTCTCACTTGCCCTCCTAAAAACTGAGCACGGGACTAAATGGCTGTTAGGCTGCAGAGGTGCTTAAATACATTTTTCAACATTTAAGCAATTCTATAGCTTAGCAGCTGTTTATTCAGATGCTTCATTTTCACATTTTTTTGGCCGGTTGGAAATCAGTGAACGAGGTCATTTTGGATTTGCAAAAGGCAGCCCTGAATTTCAGTAAAAGCTGGGGTTAGGTGTAAAACCAAACTGTGCAAAAGCGGGTGGGAGGGGAGGGGAGGGGACAGTGCTCCCTTTGGGAAAGACGGAGATAAACTCCAGAGGAGAGGGACAAAAGGAGCAAAGGTGCAGAAAAGGCAGCCTGCAAGGGAAGGGTAAGACATGGGCTTGTTTAGTCTTGAGTCAATAACGGAGAGGGGACCCGTGAAGTCTGCAAATGCCTTATGGGCTGATCTAAAGAGGATGCTGAGAAATTGTTCTCCGGACGGCAGGACAAGCCGCAATGGGCTTAGCCAAGAAAGACTGAGGCTGGAAAAACTCCCTGCCTGGTAGCAGAGTTCAGCGCGGGACTCGACGTCCCCGAGAGGTCGTGGGAGCCCCGGCACTGGAGATTTTTAGGACTAGGCTGGACAAACCCGTCAGGGCTAATTATGGGTCCTGCCTCAGCGTGGGGTCTGCCTGGCCGGGCTCTCGGGTTTTCTTGGCCCAGCAGGGCTCAGGTTTCCTTTGAAAGCACCAGGGAAGCCAGACGGACACAGTGAGTTTCAGCCCCGTGCCCCGATATGAATCCTGATTCACATCGATGCTTTAACTCGATGCACCCGAGCCTATTTGCATACGATTCCCGCTGGGAGGGGAGCAGGCCAGTCGCGGTACCCCCCCCCACCGCACAGCCCCGCGGGCACTGGGACGGTGCCCTCCGAGAGCTGTGCCCAGCCACCGTCCCCTCCCCCAGCCCTTCATCACCGCTGCTTTGGCATTGACCACCCCCCCACGGAACCCAGCCCCTCAGCTGGGCAGTGTCGATTCCCAGCCCCGCCAGCAGGGGGCAGCAGGGACACAGGCCTCTCCAAACCCCAAAAAACCCAGGGTTTACAAAGTGGAAAGCCGTAGTTTATTCTCTGCCTGGTGGGTCCGACAGGGACTGGAGATGGCACCAGAACCAGGGTTTAGCCAGTCCTGGGCAGGGGGGATTAATTTCCATGCACCAAGGTCACAAAGAGACCCAGGGAGCTGAGCGCCAGGAAGCCGGTGATGACAGCTTTGACCAGCAGCGCCGTCCAGCTGCCCAGCAAGAAGACGTGAACGAAGGATCTGGAGAGACAGGAAGGGATGTGAATTAGTGGGACCTGCAAGGCTGAGGCACTGCCCTGGGGGAAGCTCGCAGCCCCGGAGCGTCTCCTCCCCCCACGCTCTGCCAGTGAAAGCGGGAGGGGAGGGGGGTGTGAACGTACAGC